TGGAGATTGTATTCTTATTAAATCAATAAATGTGTATTATGAATAGTATCTAACAACTGCTTATGTGATCTTTCTATATAACGTTACTGTTAACGTTATAATGTCAGAAAAACAATAGCATGAATAGAACAGTCATCACTTTTTCTTATTTTCCTTAGGGTTGAATCAGATAACATGACATCAATGGCAAGAGGAGAAAAGATGGGGAAAACATCACCAAATTCAGTCCAGGGAAACAGGTGGCAGATATGTTATACAGGTATTTCATATGATATGATATGATATGATATGATATGATATGATACAATTTCAGCAATGTTGACATGGTCAATACTGACATGACATGTTCATATGTAATGCTCAAACTAAATTAACACGAATATTTATTATCATAATTTATGTAATATTATTTGTCAGGGCTGGACACTTGACTGGCACAAACATCCACCAAGGAACTACACACGGTCCCCCTCCTGGTCTTGAAATTCAGTCCTGATGCCAACTGCCTCTTGTCGATGCCTTCGAGATGGGATCCTGGTAGTATCCACCAGACTCCTTTGCAGGCTCAGAGGAGATTAGCCTGTGTATACAAAGCTCTCGGCCGGAGGGGGGCGGCAACCTAGGGCGGCGGCCGCCAGGAGCGCGATTTAGTCAGGCTAAGAGGAGATCAGCCAAGAAAGGATGTTACTGACCAAGGGAGTTAGCTGGCCATTAAATGAGGGGCAGTGCAGCAGGCCATTAAGTCAGTTATGGCTAATTTCAAACAAAATTGAGTCGGATAAGGCTGATTACATACATACTGATTGCCTATATTTGTTTTGCATCTTTAAGTTTTGACAGGGATCGAATCATGATAGTTTTATCGTTTTATCAATGTGAGGAAAGCTCCTTGGTTGTATAGATATTAGATTTGTCTATTCAATCGACCATTATTCTAGACATAAGTTACAGTTAACTGCTGCCAACATGCAACAGAGCAATCAGTGTAATCAATGATGTGACAGAAAATGAAGTTTTTCACATAAATGACAGTTTCGTGATGTATGCTTCTTGTATTTGTATGTTCAATGGGAAAATGAATGTTGACAAGCATTAGATTTGAACTTGAGACACTATGCATTAAAACTACAAATGTATTAAAAGGG